TAATCTATTATTTTGAATTACAAGTTAAAAAAGTCGACTTTTCTGTGTTCTAAGTTGAAATAATCTATTATTTTGAGTTGTAAGTTAGACAAACAGATTTTTTCGAATTGTAGGTAGGCAAAAATCTATTATGCTGAGTTACAGGTCAAAAAAAAATCGATTTTTCCTAATTCCAATTGAGAAAAATCGATTTTTCCGAGTTTTAAATAAAAAAATCTATTTTTTTAATTCAAATCAGAAAAATCGGCATTGCGATTTCTAAGTCAGAAAAATAAAAAATATATATTGTGACCTTTCTATGCTTTCTTACGCTTTCTAATACTCAGTATTTATTCTTATTTCGATCGATATGAAAGGCAACAAAATTGTATGGCTTAAAATGCATTATTCGAGTACTCAAGCGACAAGAAGCAACCAAAGCGCATGCATATGTGTCCAATTTTAAGGTCTATCCACAGGTTGGAAGGTTGTGGAATATTATTTATAATACAAATATTATGTATTAAACATATTTTAATGTCTTGCTAGTAACAAGAATTGTATAGAGAGAGGTTTTAAACCCACCAGACTGAATTTTCAGAAAGAAGAATAAAAAGCAGAGAGCTCGTCTATGAACCCAGAAATAATAGTCAAAAAATGTTTCTAAAGTAGGGCATGACCAATAAGAGACATTAGTGAATATTTCAAAGGCCTACTTTAGAAACATTTTGTGTAGACCACTCCTTATAATGTCAGAAATTTGCGTAGAATATTAACAGAATTGTCACTGAAATATCTCATCCAAAATTTGGCGCAATGACAGATGACAGCGTTCTTTACATTCCATTACTGCCACTTAAAAAGAAGAATTGTAGATTCTCGAATTAGCTATCGCCAAGCTACGAACTATTTAGACTCAAATTAATTTTGAATCTTAGTTTTTGTATTTGTATTAAATAAGATCCGTATTCATATACCAATTTTATTTTGGATATTGGCCTCCATATTTGCACGTTTTTCAATTCATTATTGTGACTTTTTTTTAATGTTCATGCTAAATATCACTAGTAAGTTTATAAATTTCATTTTCGAGGGTTGGAAAGTAGTACAAATCAAAAATATTATATTATTTGAAGTGTAATTAAATTCAGTGTCTAATTAGGTAGCTGTTGAAGTATTTTTCTCTATATTTTAAATGCGTTTGTATTCGTTTTTAGGTCCTCAAATCTACAACGTTTATATTTCTTATATGCTGGGTGACATATTAGTGCGAGAACTCTTATCTCCGTCAAAATTGATAAGATTTGCTAACCCAAATAATAACCCTACCAGATTTTAAGTCAATATGTTAAATAGTATCAAAAATATTGCAAAAACGAAAAGTATTGGATTACATTTGATCCAGCGTTATTTAACAAAATATTATTATTCTAAGGTTCTGAATCTACGTTTAAAATATTTACCATTCCTTATGAAACTCCCTGTTTACTGGAGGATGGGTCTAATAAAGCCTAAGTAATATGGACCAACCCATTCTTCTCACCTTACCAAATAAAGATAGTTACCTAATATTATGTACTATTTGTGTTTCAGATATAGTTTTCAAATAATTAAAATTTATTTGTGATTGAAAAGTTGATAATTCATTACGTTTAGACTGAAAATTACACACGCCTTCACTGCTTCTTGTCACAATAGCACTAAACATCCGAACGCACTTTAAAAAACGTCAAAATATTCTTCTCTATAAAGTCGCAGATATTGTTTGAAATGTTAACTGTGACTACAGTAAACGATGTGTACCTGAATGTTTGCATAGCAATAGGTTACCGTAATTTTATCATTATCTGTATGAACATGTTTATAAAATTCTAGATTTCTTCTTTTTTAGTTACTATGGAAGTGAGGCATTCAATCAGCGAATTTTAGATTTACAAATTTGATTTCTTAATTTATATATCTCAGATAAATTAAATAGAAATGATTCAGAAAGAAAATATTTCAGAATAATATTTATCTGGTATTGATTTTTGAAGCCAAAACTCTTGGTGTCCATTAATCTTTTCGTTAGTTGTGAGTTCTACGAGTACCTCTTTCAAATTTGATGATTGACTGTCAGCAACATTAATTCCTCGACAATTTTTTACGGTTTTTCTACTTTTGGGATTAACAATGAAACTTCAGCTCACAATCCATCAAAGTCCTTCATCGTCTTGTTTAGAAGACGACGCAAAAAGGTTTAATACAGTTGGCTGTTGTAAATATTGCTTTTCCAGTTCTTTAAAATAGATGAATCTTTAGTAATTATGGGACACTTTTTGAACTGCACATGCGCGACAATAGCTCTAAAGTTAGCTAATTAACCAGGTGACAGATGTCAAAAATCGATCTAACATTAGTCAACCCAAAAATCGATATAACTTAACAAATGTCAACTATCAAAAATCGATCTAACATCACATATGTATTAAATGTCATCCAACCTAAGTGACAATAAAAATGGTCCCTAACATAACGTACAACCAGCTGGCAACGCCGCAATAATTAATGGCATTTTCCATTGAAATATTTAATGCGTTCTGAATGTATGTTCACTCTCTTCTTTTCCATATCGATAAACAAGGACACAAATATGCTCAGTGTGTACTGATATGCCAGTGCCAATGGAAAACGGCATATGATTCAATATCGACGCACTGACAGACTCACTGTGAATCGTACCAACAGAGCTCCCTTAACTCCTTGGTGCGGTTTTGCCACATACTAAGAAAATCAAAGTATGTGGGTTTTGCCAACACATTAAGTTAGATGCCATTTTTTTATTGACAGTTTAGATGACATTTACTATACATGTAAGGTAGGATTTCTATAACGTCAGCCCACATACTTTGATTTTCTTTTACTATACGGAGAATGGTCGCACTGCGCAGCTTTCTGAGTGCCTTTTAAAAGGAGATAGAAAACTCCGCCATTTTGAACCCTTATTACGTGTTGCCTACATCTTGGCGCAATATTTTTAATAGGTGCGTTTTAATTATCCGCTTCTGCTTCGGAATTGTCGGTTTTCTTGTTTTAATCTGACAGGTTAAAACGACTGAACCGACAATTCCGGAAGCAGAAGCGGATGATTAAAACGCACCTGATATTTTGCTTGCTGCTGTCAGTGTCAGTGAATATTATTTTTGAAGTCACAGTTTATTGCTAAAGAATCAGTTAGCTCACTCGGACCAGTTGAAAGTTCCAAAATAACATCCACTCCAGGGATACAAATTCAGGATACGCAGAAGACTGCTGTTTTATTATAGGCGGTTGTCATATATTGTATTATCCGAGTTGCACAGTGTATAAACTGAAATATTGAGATCGGGTGCACTCGCCGACATTCGTATCCGTTCGAAGTTTTTTAAAATTAAATATTTAATATAATCATCATCTAAACCTTCTTAAATTATAATTTCTAATACCTCTTCAATATTATGTACTAATGTAGACAACAAAAAAAGATGAACTATAATTTAAAGTTTTTAAAATGAGGTTAGAAATAAATATAACGGCAAGGATTCTAATGTCAAAATTTCAGGTTTGCAATAAGTCTGATTTTAGCATGGAATTTAATTGACTCTAATTACGATGTCACTATTAGTGGCTGGCGTTATAGAAATTTGCAATATCTCTCTAATTAAGGACAGGCACAATCTTTATTAAAGTCAGTTCTAGAATGTAAGTGATCTGGGCATGCTTAGATGTCAAAATGAGAGCGGCACTAATAGTGACTGACCTTAAGTGAATTTGAAATAACTCTCTATTAAGTCAAATGCAGGATTAAAAATTAGAAGAATATTTTTTTTAACCAAATAATACAGAATACAAAATTTAAAATAACGTCTGGTTATTTTTATAACCTAAGGTTAATTTTAACCAAATTTTTACAGAATAGACGCCACATATGTTAGGTTAGATCAATTTTTAACATATGTTAGCGGGTTAGCCAATTTCAGAGCTATTATTGCATATATGTAGTTTAAAAATAGTCCTCAAGTGTCCCATAACATACTATCTTTGTTCTTCTTATTAGTAAAATTTTTATTGCGCAAATATGTATCAAAAAAGTATCAGTGGCTCCCCTACCATTTACTTATCAATAATTAATTGCATTCAAATTCCATTACCATTAAAAATGATTAATACTGTTACCTAATATTGACATTTCACTTCCACCTCGAAAACCAATAAAAATAAACCCTATTAAATATATTTTATGTCTGATGGCTTTATCTGGATCAGAATATAAAAGAAAAACAATAATTTATAACTAAATTATAAACATTTCATGTCACGAAAAGCACGATATATATGAACCATGACATACAGATAATGGTAAATATTAAGCAAAACTCTAACATTAAATATTGATGTGTCTCGAAATATATTTCGAAACAGAAATATACCGAAGAATTTTAGTCTTGAATAAATTTTATGAATAAAGTATAAACCCTAAAAGGTTATGTAAATAAATAATTTAAAAGCTGTTCCTAAAATGTATTGTCTAATTGATGTTACTAGCAATTAACTATCAGATATTTATGGGCTTTGACGCTGAATTTAAAAAAATGTAAATATATAGTTATTACCCATTATATAAAAAATTCAGAGGTATGATACTTAGCCGACGAAATCTCATCTAGTTCACGCATGACGTATTGTGGTGTGAAATATAAATATCTGATTGGCCATGAACAGATTGAAATTTATTTTCGATCAGCTGATACCTCAAATTCGTAAAAACCACGCCTCCATACCACAGTACGTCACCATGACGTAGTATCTATATGCGTAATAGCATACCTTCTTTTTATAACATCATGGTTATTACCATGGTTATTACCAACCTCCCCTAATACACTTATAAACCCTATAGAATTTACAACACAAGTAATATTAGATAAATCACAATACACCGAATAAAATACATGACAATTTTATTTAAATATAAAAAAATAGTAATAATAAAAAATACTTACCAAACCAACCAATAGGAAAAAAACTAAAAATGTCCTTCCTAGAACGGTGTGGCAATAGACGTCACCATATCCTACTGTCGACATGGTGACTATTAGAAAATATACGCAGGTCCAATATGGTAAAGCATGTGGATTATCAAAATCTAATGGATCTCCAGAGTTCTCCAACTGAAAAAAGAATTGAAAGTAATTTTTAAAAAAATGGGTTTGATGATTTTCTCATAGATCCCATTATCAGATATTCGGCAAAATAATATGGAACCACAAGGGTTCCCAGATTTACTAGATGAAAAAGCGTTCAAACCAACCACGGGAGAGGGGGTGAGAGGAGAGAAATGATTTATTTAGTTGTGACTTACTGGGAACAATAAAATCCTGTTTATACAACAAACGCAAATTGTCAAAAATTTAGAAAACAAATAAAATGACATTTCATATTATATAAAAAAAAATCAAAATAAATTAATAAAACAAAATAAAAACGAGCTCATCGCAATCTATTATACAGTGTGTCCAAAAAAAATTATATACATGAGAAAAGTTTTGTTTCTTTCAAGTGATGCAGAACTTTTTATGAAAAATACTTGTTTTTTTTTTTAAAACTTTTTCTCATGTGAAATAAACTTTTGGAACACACTGTGTAATGAATTGCGACGTGCTCGAAGAGCACGTCGTTGTCAACAATATTTGAATACACTTTGTTATTAACGACGAAGAGCACTGTGTAAATAAATTAGTAGTCTCAATTTAATAATTTTTTCACAAATTTTGGAAAACACAGAGAGTAAAGAGACAGGTCTACAATTTTCTATTTTGCTTTTGTCTCCATTCTTAAAGGAGGTTTTATTATACCTATTTTTAAACAGTTTCGATATTCCTATTCCCAATAACTTTGATTAATGAGATGGGTAAGTGGTTTATTTCTTTTATTGTTTCTGCCCTAATACTATCCCAACCTGGAGATTTGTTTGATTTTAAATCTTTAATAATTTGTTTTACTTCATTCTCATTAGTATCCACAAGATATATAATAGCACTTTCCACCCTGTTTATATATTCCCTATAATTTTGAAGAACTTTGATTTTATTTGCGTATTTTTCACCAATATCACTGTAGTAGTTATTAAAGATATTTGTAATGTTCAATGGATCTGTTATTTTTTCCCCGTTCTCTCCTTGTACAGTTTCAATTTTTGTTTTAGGTATTTATTTATCGCATAATGTATTAACACACTTCCATATGAAAACGTAGAGTAAAGACTTGTAAGATCTATATTTCTGCAGTTGGTTTACATTACATCTATTGCACCCCTAACAGAATATTAGTAAGTTGCCGAGAGTTATTGTAGCGTTGTATGTTGATTCTAAGTCAAAAATGTTGTTCCTTTTTCGGGACAACAGGAGAAATATAGATAGCAGAACAAACAAATCAAACTAAAGTCATGAGATGAGGTACAGATATCAAAAAAAGCATCAAAAGTATAAAAGAATTTGTTATTTAACTGTGTTAAAGAAGAAAAATATGATACATTCTGATGATAACATTGTCAGGTGTGCTATAGAATTTGCAAATATTGTTCACTTTGTTTAAAGCTTTAGCTTTTTAGAAACTTATCGCAATATTGTATAATATATTTGACGGTATTTTTTCCTCCAAAATAAGGCTTGCATTCGGGTATCTAAAGCAAGTAAAACTGTTTTTTTTGTATCTATATCGACCTCCTTCTGTATCACCGTTAAAATTACTTAATTATCAATTTTCCGGTATGTTTCTTAGTTTTCGTAATAATTTATCAAAGAAACGGAAGCAATATTTATCTCTACTGATTCTAGCCAATAATTAAACAATTAATTGGTGTTTAAAAACACATTGAACGACTTACCAAATGTATAATTCCAGCAGCAGTCAACCATACGGATATAAAAATAGATACCAATTGAGCTAAACGTATGGAACTAGAGGTTTTCAAAATGTTTAAGTATTGAAGAATGTCTGGAACGGTCATCAAACGGAGAGCTCGCAAAAACCGAAGACCTGTCAAAAATATGGTTTCATTAATTTTGTTAAAAAAATGTTTTGATGGTTCGGAAGGGAATTTTGTTGGTATCTCAGTTAATGTGTAAACATTTTGGCAATATAAGACATTAAAACTTTTCTGGCTCGATACAAGGGCGTCTCCGGGAAGGGGGTCATTGGTCATGCCCCCTCCGAGATTAAAAAAATGTTACAATTTATGAGTCTTTTATTAAAAAAGTATAATAAAATGGGAATGGCTAATGGCAAAGCTTCCATTCCGAAAATTTGGTCTGGCGCCACCTTTGGTTTGTCAAAAAAACTAAGTAACACTTTATTATATATCTCAATGGGCAGCGTCCTTCATATTGTTTATTATCTATTAAGGATAGATCGAAATAGATCTGCTATGGGGTTCAAAATAGTTTGGGAATCCCTGGTTTATATCCTTCACATATTTTTTTTTTTTTTTAATTCATGAGGTACATTTGAAATGATGTTTTTCTAACAAAAAAGAACGTTATACAAAGAAATGTTACGAGAGATTAACTTTTGATTCATTTAACGCAGTATTTTCAAATGGAATGCTGCTACAATTTGGCGGATATAATCAATTCAAATAATTTGTTTTCATAATAACGAAATGTTTTAATAATTAGTATGTTTTGTCATAATTATCTTTTTAATTATAGCTTTAATTTTTTCGGTAAAAATAGCATAATATTATTGCTGTGTGTCTTCACTTGCAGCGTCATACCTATCTCTTTCACTCATATTCAACGAATATCTATTTTCGTCCTATGTACGAGGAGCAACAACCAAAAAATTAATATATTTACAGGGTGATACACCAAAAAAGGTGATTTTAATGCGTTACTATTTCTTTAGCGCCCTCTAATAGCATGTGTCTTACCGATCCATGTTCGATCCAAATATATCGAAACAAAAGACGGCGGGATGGTGAAGTAATCTACAAATGAGTACATCTCCAGCATGAACCATAGTTTGTCGCTTGCTGCTATAAACTAAACACAAAAAAAGATATAAATAATTTGCATCTATTAAAATTATGCAGGTATTGTTCCTAAGAATATTTACTTACTCTTATAAAAAAGTAGACCATAAAAAATATGTTGAAGGCAAGGTCGATTTGTTGAGTAATATTGTCGCTCCATTCTTGGCAACGCTCAACTCCATCGCTAAAAAATTAAAAAAATAATTGTATCACGAAAAATCGCTCATAATTTAGAAGATTTAAATTTTTTATTAAAAATGTACATTTTTTGGGATACTTTTAGATATTATTACAATACTTTTGGAAGTTTTAAATGAAGATATTAGTAAGAATGACTCTCATGGTGAAGGTGATTTTTCGGAAGAGATTAAAATTTAGAATTTCTGCGCTAAAGCTAAGCAAATATTACAAAACTAAAAAATAACGGGAAAATAATGAAAGAACTGAATAGCTGAAAGAATAATTTAAAGTATTTTTTCTAATGTTGACATATAAAGTAACATTTTTTGGAATTTCATAATTAGTTAGATATTGTTGAAGACTTGCAAAGTCAAGGATTAAAATGTAAAGAGACTATCAATATAATAAAGAAGGAAATAGAGTTAACCGAGGATAATACTTGGAAACTAAATAAAAAATCATTGGCGCTACTCAAGCTGAGACAGAGGAGATCCTTAAATGCTTTTTCTATTGTCAGAAATTACATATTTTCAGATAACAAACTCACAAGAGCAACCAATTCAAAGGTCACAACCAGCTAACTAAGAAAGAAATGGCAGATGACAAGATCACCAGAATATAAACATACATTAAATAGGGCTACCCAAAGAGTAGCAAAAGAAATCCTAAATCACAAAGAAGAATCCTTGAACAGATACCTAGTAGAGCTAACAGATGATAAAGAAACTGATTATTCGCTCTGGAAGGCAACTAAAAAGATAAAAAATACGTGAAACCACTGTTCTCCTATCAGAATTGGTAAGAGAAAATCAAGAGAAAGCTGAATTTTCGTTGACAATCTACAAACCAATTAGATAAAAATCAAGACAATCCTAACGAGACGATCTAGAATATAGATCAAATTGAAATTAGGCTAGTTACTCCCAATGAAGTTGCGAAAGAAATTCAGACAAACATAACCCACAGAAAGCACCAGGATATGACCTAATTACTAGAGAAATATTAAAGAAACTGTCAAGAACCGGTTATTTACTCGTTCATGTTGCAGTACCTCGCTCTGCTCCTTCCGCAAATGTTCATTCGTTACATAAAATAAGGCATTAAAAGCTGGTCCAAAATGACAAAATAGAAAACCTAAAAATCCTAAAAAACAGGTGATCCATCTATGGTAAAAACGGATGTGAAAATTATTATGATTCCCATGAGAAAAATGATTTAGATGAAGAGGAAAGTGAAGAGTAGGAAGAGGAAAACGAAGAAGAACACGAAGAAGAAAAAGAAGAAATGAGGAGAGGTAAACAACCAAGTTTAATTGAAAATATTAATATTTAATTAATTTTATTTCCTATAGTGTATATTTTAGTTTTTGAAAATGTTTGTATCAAAATATTAATGCATAAAGATCCCTCGAGGTTAAATGATTCCTACGAATATAAACAAAATTAGCAGTGCCATCTGTTAAGTTGAAGTATAATCGAAAGAGTAAATGCAGTGACCGACAACAAACTGTGAACAGTTAGGCTCATTTTAACGCCATTTACACGTGTATAATTATTTTTCTGATTTTCGATGTTATTTCGGGGCTTTTTCGCAGCATTGTTAAAGTGGTATTCAATTCGATAATTTAAAAAACTGAACAGGGTTCGAATTCAGGTAAGTTTAGGCTACTTACCTTTGTGTTGCTTTGCGCAGCATTTTATTGTCTTAAATTTGTAGGTTAGGTTTTGTAGAATATTTGCTTTTGGGGTAAAACGATTACTTCATGATAGGTTAGAATGATCCGCGGATCATTTTACCCCATACATTTTTAGAAAGCTAGCAATACATTGATATGGATACCAATATTTGTTCTGGTTATTTTCAGGATGCCACGTACGTACCACCTCAAAACTCAGCGTCAAAACTGGGACCCTGAGAACATGGCAAACGCCATAAACGGGGTAAAAGAGAATGGTATGGCATATAAAACTGCTGCACAAACATTTTAAGTGCCTTTAATGTCCTTTAAGCGCAGAGTTAAAAATAAAAACACAATTGCCAAAGAAAATATAAAACGTTTAGGCAGCAAAACTTCGACATTTACTGCAGATCAGGAAAATGAACTTATACACCATATTCTAGACTTTGAAACCAGAATGTTATGGGCTTACAACAATTATTGATCTACTGCGAATAAAATTCCCCATAATTTTTCCCGTAAAAAACAGATGACTGGATATGAGTGGCATTCTGGATTCCGAAAAAGGCACCCAGAAATAACGTTAAGAGCTTCAGAAGCATTCAGCAGCCCGCACAAGGGAATTTAATAAAATTATTGTTTCAAAGTTTTATGATCTTCTTAAAAGTGTTTTGCAGCAGCACAAGTTTCCTGCCCGCAGAGTTTTTTATGTCTACGAGACCTCTGTGTCAACAATTCCTGGCAAAAACTCAAAAACTTTTGCAAAAAGAGGCAGAAAGCACCTGGAACTATTTTCGGTTGCAATGATTCCGGCTGGATGAAATGTTTGGCCAATGGTTTGATCACTTTTTTAATTTTACGAAGCCAACAGCCAACTAAAGAGAATCCCGTCTTGCTAATTTTAGATGGATATTTGACCCACACTAAAAATCTGAACGTCGTGACTAAAGCAAAAGAAAATAACGTTGTAATATTATGCTTGCCCCCCCATACAACACATAAGTTGCAACCGTTGGATGTAGGGGTAATGTATCCATTAAGCACGTACATGGACCAGTCATTGGAAAAATGGATGACCAATAATCCAGGCCGAACAGTAACAACGTTCCAGATAAGCAAAATCTTTTCAAAAGCCTACCTGAAAGCATGTGTACCGAATAATGAAATAAATGCTTTTAAAAAAACTGGTATTATGCCCTTTGACCCTAACACGTTTTCTGACGCTGATTTCGCAGCAGCAGAAGTTACGGAAAAGACCCACGAAGCTGCTCAAAATAATCAAGAAAACTTAGAGAATAATGAAGAAACCTCTGCAACCAACCCACTTCTACGTAGTTCTCCAATTCCTGGACTACGTACACGATCGGTTATCCCTCCAGGAATTACAAATCAGGTATCAGACCAATGTGAAGTAGAAGTGGAAAGTTCCTTTACCGTAACCCCTGCTGATTGCAATCCTCTTCCAAAACTTAAGGGAAAGAGAGCATCTCAAAAACGAAAGTCTGTTGGTACCGTTTTGCTCACAATTACCTCATATAAAATCATGTTTGAAGAGGAAAATAGGAAAAAAATTAAATTAAACAAGAAGACAAAAAAGTAGTAGAGGAAAGTGATGACTCAAGCAGTAACAGCGGATCAGAATCAGAAGAGTGCATCTTTTGCTGCGAAAAATACGCTGCTTTTTTGACTGGCGAAGGATGGATCAAGTGCATTAAATGCCTAAAATGGGCTCATGATCAGTGTGCTGGGGTCGATGAGAACGATTGCGATTTTGAGTGTAATTTCTGTTTGCATCAAACCCAAATCTATCGAGTTAAGAAAAATATCAAGTTTTAAATTAGTTAAGGTATTAAAAGTTGCTTAAGTTAATTTTGTTAAATAATGTTGAGCAAGTTTCTGTTTACTCCCTTAAGAGTATTGAAAATGTTTTAATGTTTTGTATGTTATGTTTTATGCTTTTTTTATAAATAAACAACTGTTTTGCATTTATTGTTATATTATTTATCGAAAGTGTAGTAATAAAATAATGTTTTGAAAATATGATCATTTTGCCACATGTGTGGGATCGTTTTACCTCTAGCATTTGGGTAAAATGATCCTTTAACAAACATCATTGTCATTCCAAAATGTGAAGAAAATCAACACTAAATTGTTGTCAAATGGACACCAAATCCTCTAGAAAAGACAAATAAATGTATATCCCTGTACTTGCAAAAATATAACGAAATTGGCCTTAAGGAGATCATTATACCCCAGTCTCCCCTAAATAACACAAAAATAAAAATGTTTGGATCCGAATCTTATCAATATTTGTCAACTGTTAATATCTACATTAATTTGAAACACAAAAAAAAACATTTTTACTTACTTCGAGGCATCTATGAAGTAAATTATTAATGAAGCTATGCTTAAGATGAACACTAGGACAACCTGTAACAAAAAAACAATATTTCATCAAGTTATACCAATTTGTATTATTTATTTTAGTTTTTCTTCTTATTTCTGCATATATCTTTGTTTTACTTTTACTTTCATTTGACCAACTTTTTTCCCTCATAAATCAATTTTATTTTATTTAAATTTTCTACATTATTAACAATTTTTGACACGTCTGCATTGTTTCCCGTGCTTTTTATTTTAAATTGCATCTAATTTTAATCCCCTCTTTATAGAATTAACATATTTTTTAATCATAAATGAGCAGATTACAAAACAAATGATATGCACCCTTTATCGTTATTACTAAAAAAAATATATTTATACGTATTTTTATTATTTCAACTTAAATTCTGTCGATTTTATGGTGCATGTCTAGCTCCCATAACTGCATGGTTCAAAAAAGTAAGTCAATCGATTTATTCAAAAATGTTTCCTTGCCTTTGTGTTTTTCATAAAAAATAATGCTTGTGAAACTGTGAAAGGGCCTGATGTCGAATTTTGTATCAAACCGTAGTCATATATTTGTGCATAGGTTTCCTTAAGCTATTAGTTCATTTAGGTTAAGATAAAATTATTGGTAGAGCATCTAATTTTATTCAAAACAGACTAATAATACCCATTGTATCAACAAGACAGTATATTATTTATGGCAGAAGTGAAGAACTATCCATAGCACTATCGATAATAATCGATAGTTTTTGGCGCCATCGAAAACTATCGACAGTTCAAAATTTTAAGAATGTTACCACAAAAATATCGATGTCATTTCTACAATTCCGAGGAAAATGCAAGGCAAATAATTTTGACATGACAATCTTTGGAATATCAGGCTAAACCTCAATCGCAGATCCCTTACCAAAAAGATAATTTTGTTTTCATTTGTCGAAAAAAAGTAAAAAAGCATATTTTGAAGTCGTCAATATTTGAAACGTACAAGCTCGTCCGAGGATACAGATCCACTCTTATTTTGGAAGACAAAACTAGTATAATAGTTTTAAATATTACATACTTATTATGCATTTAGGTAAATCAGGAACTGATACCTGATACCCCTGCCAGAACTTTTCAAAAATTTTTAAACGGGTCTCTAAAAATCCAACAGGAAAAGGAAATCGTTTAATAATAACCCACATTGGAAGCACCGATGAATTTTAGCCATATGGTAAAAGAAAACAAAAGACTACCATGAAGAAATGGATGGCCCATAGTTTGAAAATTGGTTTCAGAACATTACAAAAAAAATTCCAGTCAACTCCGTTATTATTTTATATAATGCACCATGTACCCTATCACAGTATAAGAGCTTCAATAAAGAATAATTATTCAGATATATTTTTTTAAATCGCACATTCTTGTGATTCAAAACAAGATATATTATTATCGGGTATAAATATTTATTGTTAAATAATAATGAATCATTTGTCGTGTGTAATGTATAGAGTATTGGCAATTTTTGAATCATTCTATATGGTCATCAGAATAGATATTATAATTATTGTACCTATACAATTTCTCAAGGTTATTTAAGAAGACGGTGACACTATGTTAAATTGCTTGAGTAGAATTATAATGGAATTTTCATTATTAATTTTTCTGTTTAAATAGACTACCTAAAATATCTCACTCTGTTTTGCATAGAATTTTTAATAATTTATAATGTATCAAATTATTAAAAATAATTGACTTAAACAGCAGCAAAAAATAATACTTATAGCAGGAACTGAAAAAATCTTCTTTCTTAATGCCAGTTTGAATTTAATTCATAGTCGTGCGTAGTAATCATGTATGTATGTATATATATGTTTTAGTCAGTTAAAACCCACTTTAGAAACATTTTTTTGTTGATAAATTTTTATTACATAGATGAGTATCAACAAATTAGGTTAAACATTTTAGAATATTGAAATAATCAGGTTAAAGCATTGGTTTGTATTAAAAAACATTTTCTATGCATCAATTTTGATACTAATATTTTATATTTTTCATTATTGACATTCCGCACAATCTATCATCTTTAATAGTGAAACATGTCTTATGTATATTCATTTATTATGTAAAAATCATCTTATAATTCAATTATTGTTTTTATTATGATTTGCGTCGTAATAATTAGATACCAATCAATTATACAGAGTCTTCAATAATACCCGTATCCCACGCACTCTGGTAAATTTATTAAAAATGGCCGTGCTTGGTTACTTTTGTGACAATTAAAGTATTATTTCTGTCAAATACATCGGTAACATTGTTTTGGAGGTGCTACTGAAGTTATTAATGTTACGTGGGATACTGATATTATTGAAGACTCGATATAAGCGAGATCTTACACTAAAGGGAAGTGAAATGTGAAGATTGGGACGTAGAAATATTGTAGGATGAAATAGTTAGGGAAAATATTAAAAATAGAAGTATCTAGGTAAAAAATTGAAATGGAGTATACTGAATTTGAAAAATAGTTCGAATAAAATAAAAAGAACTATACATACCCAACTGCAGGACAATATTCAGTTCAGTAGTTACATAAAGCTGCTACACAATAAATGCAGACCAACTAAAAGTTTCCGAAATGAAAGAAGAATATTTGGGAGATGAGATATTACGTAGGAAAAACAAAAAAACAAGAAATTGGATAACTAAATAGTAACACCTAAATTACAGAACTCCTATTAAGGCTCTAAGGCTCAAAGGCTATTGGGATATGATAGAGAAAAACGATGTTTTGAATCAGATATAACTGATTGAAAAGAGAAAGATATAATGCAAGAACTTTACTCTTCAAGAAAATTACATAATTGTTTTAATATTACGACAGTATTTAAATACTTTTAGGCATTTAAATACTGCATAAGTATTTAAATACTTTTTATGTGTTTAAATACCTTTTCAGTATTTAAATACTTTTGTGTAAGTATTTATCCCAAACAAGTATTTAAATACTGTAGATATTTGTTATTTAAATACATTTTGCTTTCAAAAAGTATTTAAGATTTAAAAAATCGTATTTATGAATAAGTATTTAGTATTTAAATACTTTTAAAAAGTATTTTGCCCAGCTCTGAATAGCAGAATGGAAAATTCGGAAAACATTAATTTCATTAACCACTGATTGATAGAAAATACACTTATTTATTAATTACATAACATAACCACAGTAATTTATTATCGACTAAATAAGTTTATAATGTAACTTTTACATTCAGTAAGAAAGATAAATAGGAAAATTTTGTTTGTACTAAATCTTGGAAAAAAAATATCCAGTACGAATATGTATTAATATAAAACTTGAAGTAACTTTTTAAAAAATCCCAGTATATATTTGATAGCTCTTGGTCCCTTATCTCAAAAATTAGCTTTCTTGAGTTAACTGGTTTATTACCATTACTAGTTTTTTAAATTTGAATAATTTTCGCGTTTTAAATAAAAATCAATGGTAAGAACAGGATAATAAAAATCTTCAGCAACTAGTGGATGCCGTCCCTTTCCCCGGACAAGCTCAGCTTTTGGGGTTAAAATTCACTCGTAAGGGGGTGAATTAGGGAGAGTATTATTATTATTATTATTATTATTATTATTATTATATTATTATTATATCTCTTGATATTTTAACTGGTAAATTATTAAATATTAGATTTAACATTCGTCGGTATTGAGGTTACTAAAATGAGAAAACTATTATTTATTAATTTGTGTTTTTTGTTTTATTATGTACAAATTTTTCCCAGAGATATTTTACCAAGTAATTTAAATACGAAAAAAGAAAAATTACCAAGATTTGTCCCACGATATTCTGCACTGACATCAACTCTCTTGCCACATATTTAGAATTAGCTCTAAATCTACTAATAAAATTAGTTTCTATAGGAACCACCGGGTTTTCGTTTGATTCGATTGTATTCGGTACCAAAGTCACATCATTTCTTGTAAACCACAAAGAACACAGGTAAACCACAGACCTCCATAAAAGAATCAGTATTATCCCCACAAGAAAGGTACCAATAGAAGATAACAAAAACATCCACCATTTTCTCTCATCCAGACAGCCGACGATTAAGGGTTTATTAGAAGATATTACTGACTCAGAGCGCGTTAACGACATAGCGCACGAATCGCAAACATTTACATTCGCGTATTGTTACTAAATGTTCGATTGTCAACCGGCAAATTATTATAAATTATCATGCAGAAGTGTCGATGATAAACTGTAGGTAAACGCAGAGTTTCAGTATAGAGTAGAGAGAGTAATCTCTAATGACAGTTGTGCGCATTTGTTAACGTTTAAAAATATAAACAAAGTCGTTGAAATTATTGCAAATGTCGCGAAGTCATAAGAACTTTTTCAACTATTTGTAACTTGAATGGTTTAAGAAATTGAAATCATCTGCACATAGAAATAATAGGCAAAAAACGTATTTATAATATAATAATTATAATAACATTTCTTCTCCAAAGATGTACACAAATACTTTAGGAATAGTCATGTAATGATGTAGGTACTTAAAAACCAAGGAATAGAAACTTTTACACACCAAGAATTAAAAAATTCGTTAGTGCATGGACAACATTATTAAATTAATACATAATTTTAAATTTAGAAGATGTAGGATCTTGCTTAAACAAACCTTAGATGGAACATAAGATACTGCGCATAATCCCACTTTGAAATTTTTAACACCCACCAATCACAGTTGAGGAAATCACATGTCAGAGCATTGTTCGTCCAAATTTAATGTGTCAACGAGAATTAATTTATTATTTTAGTGACTTAAATTTTGGAAATTAACGTTGAAAATGCCAAGATGTGTTGTAAAAAGCTTTATTTGTAATAAAAGTGCGAAGTGTGATGCCGATAAAGGAAACTTACATTTATTTCGGTGTTATTTAATTTTTACAGATTCTATCGAGAACCATATTTGTTTATTTGAAAATAAACAGAATCTAACTTGGTCATTGGTACATGTTATAAGTAAGTAGCAACAGGACTGTATCCAGAACAGCTAAAAGTATCAAAGTCTGTACCTATATATAAAAATAAAGGATCAAAACAAAACGAATGCAATTACAGAAACGTGTGTCTTCAGTCACAAATTGCAAAAATAATTGATTACAGCTTCTATGTTAGACTCGAAAATTTCATTCAAAAGTATAATCTAATACCAAACTGCCAACATGGATTTAGGCCTAAGAAATCTACAAATACAGCAATAGAGGAACTTTGTAGTAAACTAATAGAAGAGCTGAATAACAAGAAGCACACGATTGCCATCTTCTTTGACTTGACACGAGCATTCGATACAGTGGACCATCGGCTATTGGTGGAAAAATTGAACAGAATAGGGGTTAGAGGAGTATCAGGTAATTGGGTAGAGTCTTATTTACAAAACAGATACCAAGTGGTTTGTATTGACTCAGTAAAGTCTCACCCTGTGAGGGTACCGATGGGGGTACCACAAGGCTCGACACTGGCACCTCTGCTATTTATAATATTTATGAGTGACATAGTTCATACATGTAATACACCTGAAACAACAGTTATATATGCAGATGACACAAGCGAAATAGTGGCAAAACAAAATATACACATGGCACGAGAAGCCGCAGCCAAGGCAACAATGGAGTTTGCAGACTGGTGCAGAGCAAATGGGCTTTTGGTCAATGTAGGCAAAACAGTATTCATGACATTTCTGCCTAAGAATGTTAAACATGATTACTCCATGTTGATAAGACTTAACAACAAATCCATTGAACAAGTGAACCAGCTTAAATATTTAGGAGTAATTGTGGATCATAAATTTACATGGGAGGCTCACACTAACTATATTATATCAAAGTTAAGCTCAATGTGTTTCATCTTCAGGCAATTATATAATACCGCAAGCTTACCAATACTTAGGCTAGCCTATTATGGTCTAGTACAATCTACATTATCATATGGTCTGTCATTCTGGGGTAACTCCTCTCATATGGGAATAGTTTTCATAATGCAAAAGAAGATAGTAAGATGTATTGCAGGTCTGCCCTATGGAGCACACTGCAAAAATGCCTTTAAATATTTGTCAGTACTAACATTGCCATGTCTATATATATATTTAATAACCCTGAATATAAAAGCAAATGAATCGAAATATGTAAGAAGTAATATGATACATCAATATAATACACGTGGGGCGAATGAATTTCGAACGCCATATTCGCGATTAGGTATTGGACAGAACACGGGGAATTACCAAGGCATTATTTGTTACAATCACTCAACCAAGATAATAGGTAACTGCAAATATAATATATTTAAAGATAAATTAAGAAAGTACCTAATCGAGAATGCATTCTACTCAGTTGGAGAATTTTTGGATGCCATACCAGGAGTAAATAATACAACTTAAACTTGAAAATTTTATTGTAAATTTTTATTGTAATTAAATTCTTTACTTAATTTTTATAACAAATTTTAAATCTGTTCTGTTGTAATGTTACATGGATAAATAGGTGGATGGAAGTAGGTAGATTGTGTCTAGGTGTGCATGGAGGTGTGGATGTTAAATTTTAATTTTTTTACTATAATTTTTATTGGGACTAGTCTGTAAGTTTTATAATATTATTAGAAATGATAATAATTTTAAACTTGTAAAGATACAATAAATAAATATAAATATGAAATATGAACTAAAGGTTATTATTATAAACTGTTTACTATTTCTTATTTTATGGGGAATATTTTTTCAGGAGGAGGAAAGAGTAATATACCATCAAATACAAAAATATCAATTTCATTACCAATTTTAGTTCAGCAAAATACTCCGAGCATTTGAGAAGCCTCGGCGTTTCTATTCCCTTAGGACTCAAAGAGTCTAAAACTAGTTGCCAAGAACCGCTCGACATATGCTATTAAGGGATATTTTTTGTATTTTATTATTTTTTCTTTATTTTCTTTTGCCACTGGCGAATGGAGATTCCTTCAGGACTCCAGGACCCTTTGGCTGGTGACAACGCTGCCCTTATCCCTTAATAGTATATTAACAACAATAGCTAAAGACCTATCAGTAGTTACAAATGGTCTTTAGGCTTGCTGGTTGTTACAATAATATTGTTTTTTTGCGTTAGACATAGCTGCTTTCAAGATAGACAACTTTTAGTTCTAAAACGGTCTTTATATGTTCTATAGGTGGTATTGCTTTGGACTGTTCTCACTATTTGATCACACAAGACTTTTGGATCCTGCTACACAGTGTTAATTATACCTTGAAGATCTCTTCTACATGCTAACCTATTTAACTTAAAACGTTTATAATATTTTTCATTGCTAATTGAATTGCATTGTTTTTCTTGCAATATCTGTATTCTATGATCGCTTAAACAGTTCGGTACACTATAAAAGAGATGTGGCATAGATTAAAAGAATAATTATGCGCAGTAACAAAGCTAAAAGGGTACCTTGCTGTTTTATTTGTTGTTCTTCACTCCTACTTTTAATCCATCAAATTAAGCTTTAGGAACGACAATCGCATATATTACTTTATCTTAATTCACAGAAAGTGAGGTATTATTAAGTTTTCACAGAAAGAAAAATATCCCTAGTTTGAACATTCAACAATCTTCATTTAAGAGAACGTTCTTGCAAGAAATTTGAAAAGAATTGGGTTTGATCAGTCGCTGTTTATTTTCATCTTACTTAAACCATCTTCACAGCAACATCTGGAGTTCCACAGAGCTCCTATTTGGAACCACTGTTATTTAGCATATTTATGAATTGCTTAGCAATAAACCTAACGTGCCATCACCTGATATTTGACTTAAAAAATAGTTACCCCACTTTCATCAATTCAATATAGCTACTTTTTACAGACCCAAATTGAAAATTGTGCAAGAAGACAAGCTTTTTGTATGTCTAAATGTAAATGTCTGTTTAGACACTAGAAATATCAACAAAATTGAGTTTTATTATTTATTTAACGACCTACTTTTGTCAACTTTTTCACAAATTAAAGATGTATGTATATTATTCGATCAAATATTTACTTTTACGGATTATATTGATTATTTAACAGTGTAATACATGAACCAAAGAGAATAGTCTTTTTTAACACTCTAAAAATAAAAACATTGAGTGTCGCAGTGTTTTCAATCCCGAGAAACATCAGAAGGTGAAAAATGGATAGAAATCATTTTCGTTGTTTAAAAAATAATTTAATATTAACAGTAATTTTGTAAACAAAGTTTTGTTTATGGTGATAAATAATCTTTCCAAATACCACGAGAGGATTGAGTTTTTTTGAGAATATTTTGTTGTTTCCTTACAAATTATGCAAATTTATAAGAAAACAACAGGAGGTTCTCAAAAAATTATCATCTCTTGTGGTATTTTTCCTTGATAATACTTTTCATTAATTCTTTCTAAGCTAAAATATGCATCTTTTATTTGAAATCCCATATACGATATTCATTAAAGTTCTTTGGAAAATATTCAGCGGCGATTTCCAAAGTACTTATCCTTCCAGAACTTGGGTAGTATCACATTTGAGGTATTGAATAGTATCTGTTACTTTGGAGTGTTAGTTTGCCATCACTGGAAAATAGAAGGTTAGTTTCCAGTGTGGCATTTTTTTATAAAATACAACTCCTTAACCCATAGGTAGTGTAAACTTTTTCAAGTCTAAATTCAAAATTGAACCCTATGTTTTATTTTTAGAAATCTAAAGTGTGTCTTCACACAGAAAAATTTATTGAGTTTATATTACTCACTTTCTTGACTAGAAGTTATGTTATATAATAATTGTTTTTAAAGTGTTTTTATCAGAGCACCTTATTTTTTTGTTGTATGATGACTGATGGTGTCTCTAGAGCGCCTTCCTGGAGATCTATATTTAAAATTTTTAGAATTTATTAAGAATATAGGTAAGTCAGGAACATTTTGACCCCTTCAATACCCCGTATCTCCCTCTGGTGCTACCCAAACTCTTTTAACGACGTATCGAAAGGTTGTAGAGCAAACCACATTAAATAATGTGGCGCTAGAGAAAAGTTCCGTCCAGAAGCATAATTTGTAACTCTGTTTTTTCACACGTTTTCTAGATAAAACAGTGACAATCAAATTAAACTCTGACACAACATGACAACAGATCACTTACCGCTTTCAAGCATAGACGGTCATAA